CCCCCCCCCCCCCCCCGAGAGAAAAAAAAAATCTCAGAAATAATCACGCCGTAAGACTCAGCCTTAGGGTTTGGGATGTATTATTTATTTTTAGGTTTTGGGGAGACAATATCGGCAGAGATGGATACGACTTTCGTCTTTTTTTCGTCTTGACACACTTGAACAACGTTGATACTAATTGTGATGATTTGGTTGATGAGCCTGCTTCAACAACTCACAGGAAGTAGAATCAAAGCTGGGATCACTGCTGTATTCTGATCGGGGAATAATACCAAGCAGTAATTTAGAAGCACAGGCAAGTTGTATGCTGTGTGCAGCACATGGATCCGTTGTTTGCTCGTGATGTCTCCTCTCTTGACTTCGTTATGTGGGTCGAGTTGAATTTTTGAGTCTCTTGAAAAGTTCATGTTTCAAGCACACACCTCATTTCTTAAGAGATGGATTCGTTGGGTCATATTTGGAAAATAAGAAACAACCCCCAAACCTCCAACGAATCTGAAGATTAAGTATTGGCCTGTTCCAGGCATTTAATTTGTGGGTAAACGACACAACAGGGTATATATACCCTGGTCGAAAAGCGACACACCTGGGTACACAGTCATGAACAGCAGCAAATGCAGTCGTGTCATTGGTCAGCGCCCTATTTCTCCCCGGTGCGTCCCAAAAGCAANACAACCCCCAAACCTCCAACGAATCTGAAGATTAAGTATTGGCCTGTTCCAGGCATTTAATTTGTGGGTAAACGACACAACAGGGTATATATACCCTGGTCGAAAAGCGACACACCTGGGTACACAGTCATGAACAGCAGCAAATGCAGTCGTGTCATTGGTCAGCGCCCTATTTCTCCCCGGTGCGTCCCAAAAGCAAAGGGTATACCCTGCCGTGACTACTTTTCTCAACAACTGTACCCTGTTTTCGGAATGTACCCTGACCTGGCGGGAAATGAGACCCTGTCATCAATCATTTACCCGCAGGAATCTTCCCAACTCCTTTCCCCCTCCAACCATGAGATGTCGAACGTCGAATCTTCCCGCCCAAAATAAACTCTCCCTTCTTCCCCTCGCTCCTCGACAAGCTTTTGCTTAGACATGGGTTGTAGTGAAGGGGGGGGTCTTTCTGGCGAGCAGGGCTAGACTCACCCTCAAGGGATGACCGAAACCTTCTTGCTGCTGCGCATATCCGCCGCGAGGCATGCGCGTGGTGGTGTAGTTGGGTCGGCACTGATGGGGTCAG